TATGGTAGAAGAAAATCTTGGGGACTGTCTAAAAATTATGTCGTTATTAACTATCTGTACCGTGTGTCAGGACTACGACATAACAGGGTTGCGAAAGCTGAAATTTTGAGACGGACCCTGCTTAAGGATGGGGGTTTACAACCTGGCGAGCTCGCGCGAGCTCGGGCGACAAAACATTTACAACCACCTGATGCCCGAGTCCGCGCCAATACAATAGGTTCGCAACATGTGGCTAACTTTCGGGTCGTCCTCTCAAAACTGAAATTCGGTCCCGATTTGCCAGCTTCGAGAGGGACATTACTGTACGTCACCCTCGAGGCCGGGGCCATGGCGCATCACAGGTAGTCATTAGGCAACCAAGCATACTGTTGTGTCGTGGTCGTGGCGTTGACACACGCGGTAAAGTGAAACAAAATGAATGACACATAAAACGAAGTCACGTCAACAAGCACTCACCGCAGTTTTGTGGGACGGCAGCATGTTCCATATTGTAGGTGTGTCCCGCCCGGTGGTCGCTCCCCCACTGTCAAGGCTCACGTCGCCGGCCGGAGCAAGGCCGGGGTGTCGTGGGGGCTGGTCCCCGCTCTGCTCTGGCCGACCGGAAGTAGAAGAAGTGTGGGGGGCGGAAAGGAAGCTAAATGGCAGTTGGATTGGGGGTCGGCACGACATGTTTGTGAGCTAGTCACGGGTATATGAGGAAGCACGTGATCGGAATTGGCTTTTCCGGGGAGAACAGACTGTAACTTACATCTGCCGGTCACTTATTGCAGAACCATAGAAGTATCTTCCCCATCGGTCTGGCACCGTATCGCAGATGGCATGACCAGATTTTGTCTGGAGTGAAATAACTGCAAACATCAATTTAGACTCTATCTCGCCCCCTTGCCCAAAATTCATTGGCCTGCTTGTTTTCGCCCAGTCAGAAATTCTACATCTAGAAGACGTGTTAGTTTGGCTGGGCTAGGGTCTATTTACGGACCAATTTTTAGACGTTTTCTAGATGTAGAATTTCTGACTGCGTGCGAGGATACGCCAATCTGGCGATGGACTGGCTGGCACGACTAACAGACATGTCCTCTACACTCCAGGCGCAGCGCACGAAGCCTGTAATTTGAACTGGTTTGTTATTGCCCTATTTACAATTTCCTCGTTTACAGCCGTTGGGTGTTGCCTACCGGCCGCGGCCGTAAGGCGCCAAACTAATTGAGCTAGTTGCGCTACAGTCCAGGGCGCCATGCGTGCGGGGCGCCTGACGGCCGTGGGGTAGGCAACACCCTGTGGCGACGCGACGCAACGGGTCGGCCTACCTCGCAGGGAGCTCTGGTCTGTACCCAGGCGGCCAAGTCTGAGTCTCTTATACGTGACTCCGAGTTCCATACGACCGACAAGGCCCCCCCCCCCCCGCCGGCAATATATTTGAAGTATATTGTGCAAGCTATTGCATGTTTTTCTGCGTCGATCATGCACGAAGGTCAATGATAAATACCGTATTTGCAGGTTAATTATAATTTACAAATGAGTTCATTACATCACAACGAGGGAGAAAAATTAAAAATTGTGATTAACTTCTCAAGGTATTATTTAGAGTCTTTTTAGACAGTCCCCTAAAGACTGTCCCTACCAGAGGGCAAAAGTTCCCTCACCCTCCTCACTCTATTTTTCTACTAATACCAAAATAACAGAAAGAAGAAGAAATGCAAAGGCCAGTCAGGATATGGAAGAAGCTGACTAGATGACACTCACGGGATAATACAACAGGTACCAGTAACATAAATTATAAATATCTCCAAAGAATGTCTAGAATAAGAAAGAAACAAAAATTACACAAAATCTTTTTTTGTTTGTAAAAGTAAAATGCCTACAATCTTTGTTCTTATTTTACAATATGTATTGTACAAGATAAACAAGTAGCAAAGACACCAAATTTACTTGGTGTGAAACATAAACTTGTTCTTTACAATCATCTTTGTGTTATCATTAGGTCAATTTGTTTGGTATGGTAAGTTAGTTACTTTCATCTCACTCTGCTCACAACAGTTCTTCTGATATGTTCATTACGATATAAGGTTTCCAAACAATAATTAATCCCTCCAATAACTCCTTCATATTTTAACCATGAATGTTGCTTTTGAAAACCTTCATATCATAGAAACAACTAGTTCTAACTCGAAAATAAGCAAGTTTTCCGCCTGAACTGTTGTCATTCCTCCAGGCACCCCAGGAACATAAAGTCATCTTTTCATGAAACAGGGATCGTCCGGAAACTACGTCCGTTTTTTTCTCAGATTCATTCGGCAAATAATAGAGCTCGTCGCCTGCGAGACTCAGGGTAGGCCACCCCGAAGTACACGCATGCACTGTAGGCATGAGGCTGCCTGCCTATCATGCGCTTTCAGAGTGCGCATAGGCTGAACATGGCAGGTTCGTAACGACAAATGGCAGACGTGCTTTCTGGATGATATAATATCTACCTAAAATGTAACCTTGAAAGAAAAGACCATGCTGCACTTCAAGAAGATGACAGTGTGAGCCGACTAACAACACTCGCTAGTCAAGCTTTACCTCAAAAACTCATTTTCAGACACAAAAAGAAATTGCAATAATGGAAAGTGTTTACTGGTATGGGCTTTCTAATAAACCAATAACCAACCATCCAAGTTGCTTTTGCAGATAATTGAGATTTCAGACGGTAACTAAATTTTACCTCACTGGGACCACTACTCGTTTTTTCTACCGACGTCTGACGTGTGAAGGGAACAAGATAATGGTAAAGAACTAGTAAAAAGGCACTGAACACAGTAGTTCTACTACTACTTTCTTCCTTAAGTACCCTTGACTTGCTTGTAATACAAAAAGAGGCCTCCTTCCATGCAACTTTGGCACATACACTGAATAGTTTTTATCATTCGTTAGTGAAATCATTGCGTTCCTGTCATTAAAAACACTAAAAGAGGCACCTGCTAATAACAACAGCACTATTTAAGTCTGCAATGCAATCAATTAAAGGGAATGCATTTCAGTAAGTGTCTATAGTAAAGGAAAATAGTGACTACCTCCATTTGACTAGTAAGAAGTAAAGAAGACCTTCTTTACCACGATCAAGTATGCTTTGTTAGCAAGCAGGTAAGACCTAATATTTGTTCTTCAAAAATTACTCCGCAATACATTTGTACATGTTATCTAACAGAAATGGAAAATTTGTCCAATACCTGAACTTTCCTCAACTTTAGTGTGGTGTGGTGCACACTGAAAGTAAATTAGCTTAATCTTTCTTTTCATCTTCATCAATGTTTTTTGATGTCAGTTGACTAGTATATGCTACATAAGTAGGTCCATAACCAGGTGGTGGGAATTTTTTCAAAGCTGGACTCCCAGGGGAAAATGTAATTGTTGCAGACATAACAGCTGCACTGAGCAGGGTTGACACTCCAAAGTTACACAGCAGTATGGCATCAGCAGAATCCAAGTAAATGGTGAATGCTCGGGCTGAAACAGATGGAGAGGAATCTGATAAATTATGTTAGAAGAACTTCTAAGTACTCTTATCTAACTGAATACAATGCACTAACATAAATTTGTGAATGCGGAAATGAACCATGTGGTAGCACTTATTCCTCTTGATGTACCAGAGCGGACTATAGCCATTAACTGAATTACTTTACTTGATGCAGATATGGGGGTGCAGAGCGGCTATTGCAACAAAATAATCATTTGTTTATCACTTGTAAAGTTTTACATCAAGATAGCAACAAAGAAAAACTTACTGCTAATATGTTGAGAAGAAATGCAGGAACAATTTTAGACATGAACAGAAATGCCACAAAAAAGTACAACATGGTCCACATAAAGGTACGTTGGTTGATGAGACGACGATACAGGAGAACTAAATAGATGAGGACCAGTTCTTGCACAAGTATTATGGGGTACTCGAGGTAAGTAAGCAAGGAATATCCATTCACATAGTTGTAGCATGTCATGGTAGTATAACTAGGAGAGCAAACCAGGAGAAATTAGTAATGGAATGTACCAGGGGGTCGCAACGCAGTGCAGAGAGCGCGGCCTATGCGCGAGCCCCGGAAGTCGCCGCCCGGACGGCGCGAACCGGCCGTTCAAACCACGGCTCA